CTGGGAAAATACCATATGTTTGCAGTGGTGATGATCTGTCCCCCACCAAGAGAAGAAGAAATATAGAAAACTGAGCATTGTCACTTAGAGAAGACATACAGTCAACAGCTGAAATACAATTACTAAGAAAGAGATAACAAGGTGTAGAGCTGGATGAACACAGCAGGCCAAGCAGCATCAGAGGAGCAGGAAGGCTGACATTTCGGGCCTAGACCCTTCTTCTGAACGCTGTGTTCCTGTGTGAATGTGCTCATTGTTCCACCTCATGGTGGCCTTAACAGAGAACATTAGCATGGCTATGTTTACTAAAAGAAAATGAAATAACTTTATGTAAAATGCTGAAATGACTAGGTAGGGAATTCAAGTCAGTGTAAAAGAGAGACCTCAACTGTCACAATGAGCAATACCACCATTGGTATTAGGGTGAATGAAGCACAGCTGCAAGGAACAGTGAAGGAGCCAGAAAAGAAATCTAAACCAGTGCTACAGTGTTGGGAAGGCCTCAGAATTTATTTAAGCTATAAACAAGCAAATCTAACGAACTCTAGTGCAAGACTCTAACAAAGTCAGCAAAAATTAGAAATGCAAAAGGAGCAGGACTCAATAATTAAAAAAAAATTAGTGAGAAGATTTATAAAGTACACAGCCAGATAACTTTATTTAATAATTCATGTGGAAGAAATTGCTTGGTGTTTTAAATGACGAAAAGTGAGAATTACCTATTTTACAGAAGAAGAAACATGAAAACTCCATCTTGGTGCTGATGGAGAGAAAACTCTAAGAAAAAGCAGGGCAATCATTTTAATAATTAAAAAAAAAACAGTTTGGAAATCCTGAAGTAGGTAGGAGAAACCAGTAAGCAGTACATGGATGCAGTGTTATAGAGAAACCAGTTTAAAAAGTTTGGAATCGGTAAATTACTACAGAACATCCTTTAATGCAGATAAAGTTGCCATAGTCCTACTGGACCATATGGCTGCTCTCTCGTTTGAGAGAGATGACTGGTGATGGTCATTATGCCTCAGGAAAGGGGTCAGTACGAGAAGGGGAATCCTTCATGATAAGCCACTAACATAACTTAAAAGTTTTATTGAAGAATTCAATGCAGTATTACAGAAATAGAGATTAGAAAAGATGAGCAAATAAAGGAAATATTGTAACAATGCTTTGATTCAGAGTCGAGCAAGATCTAAGGTCATTCAATTTAAAATAGCATCAATGAATACAAGAATACAAGCATAAAGGATAGCAGCTTTAAACTTCTGTTGAAATGATACAAATGATTTTTGATTACACTCACCCTCAGGGTTGTTTGCATGGGTTTGTGTTCAGCAAAGTTAACTTATTTTTTACTGTTCACACCTGCCATTATAACCTATTTTCACCCATATCTCTCCTCTATTGCTTTAAAAATACCTTTGTCATTTGCTTTATTTACCCTCAAAATTTTACAGTGATAAGATTAATCAGCACATTGAGAAAAAAATTAAAACCAGGTAAGACTTCTAATCAGATTCAAGGTCAGACTAGGACCATACTGAACATAAGTCTAGATTTCATTTAGGTGACAGTTCTTAAGATGTAGCATTGCCTCAAAATTAAACATTAAGACTGAAGTTGAGCAAATAGATATACTGTTATAATCAACAGGTCTAATAGTGGATAATGTTATTTGTATACAAAACAATAAAGAGGGTACAGACACTTTTGAGATTATCTTGAAAGCTGTATGAATTATTTCAATTTAGGAACAAATAAAATTCAGGCAAAATTTAACAGAAGAGTTCAGCTTCTAGGAGAATTCTTAAAATATTTTCATTAATTACCTCTAATCAGATTAGTGGAAAATCAGGAAATATGGGGCTTTGGACTCAATCTTCATAAGAGATGGGATGATTGTTAGAATTCTTAACAAAACTTTGTTAGCTTTCTTACAGTCCAAATAAGGGTTGATTTTGGTGAAAGCCATTCCAATCATGTGGGAAGCATAATTTAAAATGATTCAAAGACAGGTCCTGTGATGGTTGTAACAGCCCTCTCTCAAGAGGGTAATAGAGTCAATTTAGAAGGTATAGACACTGAAAAGAGACATGTACTGATTCAACACTAAGAAATAACAGATGCTAAGAACAAGTGGAACTACAGGCCTCCCAAGCACAGAAAATACCTTGGCATCATGAAGGACTGCCACATTTGCAAAACTTTTGATCACTTTCAGAAGATGCCGTCCAGAAGTAAGAAGCAGCTCCTAAACTGCAGAAATACTGGTAAGTCATGCACTTAAATAGGCCTATATAGTAGAACATCAACCATCATTAGAGAAAATTTCTGCATTTGATGCGATACGGCCCCTGGAAAAGATATCGGAGGCATCCCTAAAGGAAGCATCTAGTCTAGACAAGGAGGAAGAGTCAGAATTTTGTCTCTGTTAGTGGATGTTCTGCTAATTTTATGTTTGATACAGGAGCAAATGTTACTGTTGTTTTCAATTATCATGGCCAAACAAACAGAAGTTACAGACTACAGAGCTAAGATTACATGGTGCAGGGGGAATAACTGTCAGGAGCATAGGAATGCTGCAAGTTACACCATAAGGCAATGCGCATACATTATTTGCAATTAATCAATTTCACTTTTGAGCCTGCAAGTGGACCTTGACCTCAAAAACATCAGAAGAGTTGCAGCAGATTGACAACCTCCCAGTGAACAACTGATCTAAAAACAAACAGCTGTCCAAACACTGGACCAGGAACAAACCATTATTGACCAACCATTCAAAATGCAACTAGTAGAAAACTTGACTTAGTTCCCCAGACTCATGACAGTACCCAAACAGAAAAAGCAGCATCGAATGAGATCGGTTACATTGGCTTAACATTGTTAACACAGTAGAAGTCACAGACTTCAAAGAACTGGCAGAAATATTCAATCTCCTGTCTTTTAAAACAGAATTGTTAATGCCAGAGACAGTTATAGACATAGCAGTGTTCTTTAGGTAGCATACCCGAGAAGGTGAAAAAGTTTACTTCACCAGTTAAACAACCATAATGAGTGAATGGAGATGTCCAGTTGAATTAACAACTCTGGAGAAATAAACTGTGTATGACTCCATAGGACCCAGACAACATCCACACATCCAGAACATGCTTAAGATGAAGAAATTGCTCAGCCTAAGCATCCAGGCTACTGCAAAAAGAAATTCTCCATTATAATTTGAAAATGATTGCCTGGTCCAGAAATCCAGGACGCTACACGAAGAAAGGACTTATTTAAAAAGAGCAGCAGTCCTGCTGGAAGAAAATTCAGGCAATTGTGTGTCCTTTAGCTGAGGATATAGACCAGCAACAACACTTACAAAGAACAACTTCATTTGTGAAGGGTGTCTAGAGATAAAAGTTTCTCCAGTTTCAAAATGGTCGACAGATCAGAATCAATTAAATAATATTTAAACAAGGGACCTACCACTCTACCAAGTCGAAAGACAGTGCATTCTGAGAAAGCTATAATACATGCAGACTGCCTATTTGTGAGATCTGGGGAGAGGTGGGATAGGGGTAGGGGTAAATGTGATATGGTTATATAAATTATTATATAACCATCTAACTACAAAGTAAAAATCTTGGGGAAGGTGTTGTATAAACTAATGGCTCTGAAGAAGTTAACATATTGGCTCCACCCATTCTACTATGATACACAGCATGGGTAGAAACAAGGAATTCTAATCCAGATTTCAGGAGTTGATGTACCTGAATTTCAATTCAAATCAGGCCAGTCACATTGGAGGATGTAAATTAGCATAAATTAATGGGAAACTTAAGACATTTTGAAGTAGTATTTCCTAATACTTAATGCTATTTCTTCTGCTAAAATACTGAGAATGACTTTCCATGTAATGTATATGAATCAGCATCATTAGGGACATTAAGAGGAGTCGATGGCCTGGTGGTATATTGCTAGACAGTTAATCCAGAGACCCAGGTAACATTCTGGAGACCTGAGTTCAAATCCTGTCCGTGGCAGACGATGGAGTTTGAATTCAATCAAAACCTGGAATTAAAAGTCTAATGATGACGATGAAATCATTGCTGTTTGTTGGGAGAAAACCCACCTGGTTCACTAATGTTCTTTAGGGAAGGCCTACATGTGACTCCAGACCCACAGCAATGTGGTTGACTGTCAACTGCCCTCTGGGCAATTAGGCATGCACAATGAATGCTGGCATGGCCAGCAATACCCACATTTTCTGAATGAATTTATTTACGTAGCAAACTTAAATTGGCACCATGCTCTTTTCCTGTCCTCAAGATTTTCTCATGCGCATTTTCTTTGTTCTTTTGCGAACTCCCATGTTGTTTCTGGCACCTACCTCTGGTGAATAATTTTCTCTATGATCTCTCTTCCAAGTTGAATCATTTTTAATCACACAAAGTGCTGATTAATGCAGTGTCTGCAATAATGGTTTTGGGCCACTTCAGCCGCCTCTGAACTTTGGTTATTTTTGATTGGGGACCATCAAATGAAAGCTAAAAGGCAGAGACAAAACATTACAAATTGTATTGGACACAACTCCTGAACACAGGGCAGTATTTGAGTGAGGTGAGACCAGCTAATACTGCTTCTAACATAATGGTCGGGGAGCAACTATTGTCTTACTTTCAGCTTTTGCTCTGGTAGTCTACTACACAGCCACCCAGTGCAGCTTTCTATGAAGCCTGAATAATATACAGAATCAGGCATGCTGCTCGTGCAGCTGTTTCCATTTTTTTTCATATTATTCATTTAAATGAAATATGCCATCTGCTGCTGAAGGATGATGATGGGATAAACTAAAAAAAAGTGAAAAAATAAGCAAACATGTGACTTGTCAGCATTCTGTCAGCTTCCAATGCAAAACAGAAAGATGCACTATTGACAAGATTGACTTTATGTTGCGTTAGCAAAATCAGTGCAGAAACTTTAATGTCTGTTGTAATTATGGTGCTAATTTGTGTGCATTGTAGATGTAGGAGAGGAAGTGGGAAGGCCTGCAGGAATACAACTGCCTTCTTTACTGAGAGATCGAGTCCCTGGATCAACCACGAGGGATTGTCCTTACTGTGGGAAATCGTTCAGAACATCCCATCATCTGAAAGTTCACCTGCGAATACATACAGGTGCGTGTACATTCTTGAAATTCCATATAGATAGCACCTAAATAACATTTAGAATATCTGTACTCCCAATCGACATTTAGGATACCTGTTTCTCATACTGATATTAGTATTGCCAAGGTTTGACTTTGGTAGGGTCCGCATTTAAATGTTTACGAGGTAGGTAATCTATCTATCAAATCTAATATACAGATCACTTGTTGGAAAGGACATGATCAAGTTTGTGAAAATAAAAGAATATCATTTGAGCTTATTTTGTGTGCACAAGACATTGATGTAAGTATTAGTTTAACCAATTTTAGTGACCATCCTCTTAAAGATGACCATCAAGTTAATGGTATTATACTGCTCTGAGTTTTGGGGACTCAACTTCGATAACGATGATAAGCAAAGAAATTTGGAGGCCCACCATTCCAGCAGAGACTAAATTTTGATAAATCGTGCAGTATTTTGTAACACATACAAGTATTTTCTGTCTACATCACCGTGAATTAAGTAAGTGGAATACTTGGTCATCAAATGAACATAAAAGACTCTGGAAACAATCAGCAAGACTGGCAGCATTTACTGAGAGAGAAACATGTTTCAGATCAATGGCTTATCATCTGAACCCAGTCACCAAACTTGCTGAAGACACCTGTCGCCAAAAAACTTACACCTTCCATTTAAAGACACAAGTCATGCCAAAATTAAATTAAGAAGACATTTTTAATAGGTTTTCTGTCGTCATTATTCCACAATGAACTCGTCAGACCATATTTATAATGTGAAATTTCCATGTACGCCTTTCCATTATTGTAGCATTCTTTTGCCAATATGGAACTGTACCACCATATGTTTTGCAGCCCTTGAGTATGTGTACTGTGGAGAAGCTCCAATCTCTGCTTTTTGAATTATCAGGTTTCGGTATTTAACTACAAATGATGCCAAATCAATGTATCAATAAAAAGTGAGGAGACAATTTATGGTCGAGGTCTTCAATTAGTACTGAAGAGGGTCCCTCCTGTAGCTGACCATGATTCACACTGCTCATTTATCATCTTACCCTGGAGCCTTTACACCTTCTGGTGCTGGTTCCAGCAGGGATTCTGCAACAGAGTTGGATGGTCAAGTGGCGAAGTGCATTTCCAATCAAATTGAACTCCCTTTCTCATCATGAACTAAAGACCCAACCCTTAAGGTCGGTCTTCAATTCATTGCATTGCATGCTGTTTAACCGGATTTGTCAATTCCAATAAGAAGGAGCCCCAAACTGACAAAGCTTACCTCCTCACCCCCAGTTGTGCTCAGTATCCTTACCCATGATAATGCCCACCTTCCCTCATCTTCTGCACTGTCTAACAATACTGATGCCTTTGACATGACTGGAGAGGAGCCAGAGATTCCAGAAAGTGATTCTAAAGGGTGGTGAACATTGCCTGGAGGTGAGGAGGGGTGATGGTGAGCCAAGCAGGAATGTGTATTATCAGGAGGGGCTAAGAATTGTTGGGAGGGGTTTGAGTGCTTTAACAGCAGTGAACATTGTTGGAAGATGGTTGAGCATTTCACAGAAGTAAGGGCAGAAGGGTGAGCCTTGAACGTTACTAAAGAGGTGTTGAGCAGTGTTGGGACAGGATGATATATTGTCCAAATTGCTTGGATGCTGGAAGGCTTTGGCTATCCAGCGTATTTACTTCAAATTATGGTCCTGAACAAGTTTTACACCTGCTGGGAAAAGATCTAAGTAAATCTGTGTAAAAACCAGGGTGAGTAAATGGTAAGCATCCCAATTTTCTGTGGTTATGGCCATCTGATCTACTGTCATAGCAGTGATTCAGTCAGCAGTCCAGGCAGAGTAAAAACAGCAACTGTATGTTTAAACTTTCCATGTAAGTATTGCACATGTGTTCCCAGTGTAAGTGACGACTTCCTCAGGGTCCCAAGGTGCATCAGAAATTTGAGTTGAGTTGAGTTTTTTGCTCTCTCCATGTCAGAGGATATAGACTGTTGTCTCACAAATTAGCCCAGAATTAAGTCTACAAAACCCAGTAAGGCTATTCCTCATCCTTTTACTCGTTTCACCTTAAAATTACATTTGGTCTTCCAGATACGATGCCATGGGAGATTTCCAATAATTAATTTGGCAACTTGTGCAATGTGTAATGTACATATTCTGATCATATTTACAGTTGTCTCTAATAGTTATAATGTTTATGTCTTTTTTATGTCAATATTTATATGACTAAAAATGGCATCACAGTCGGCATACATAGTGGGCCAAAGGGCCTGCTCCTCTGCTGTACTGTTCTATGTTCTTTATTCTATGTTCATCTGCCAGCATATAAGGATGAAAATGTAGGTGAATAATATCTATCAAAAGGAAAACAATAAAAAGGACTTTAATTTATATAGCATCTTTCATGACCTCAGGATACCCTAAAGTACTTTACAAACAAAGAGAATTTTTTGAAATATAGTCACCGTTGTATTGTAAAATTTTCAAAAGCCAATTAAAAAGGAAGGAAGGAAGAAAGAAAGAAAGGCTTGATCTTCAAGGATTTAGAAGTATAGGATCTAGAGAGCAGTGATGACATTGACAGCCAATGGGGAGAACAGGGCCACCAGGCTCACTTTGCATCAGGTCTGTCTGTCATTACCTGAAGATTCTGAGCCTCTGGACATACTGCTTTTCCATCAGACCAAGGAATCTTATCATCTGTTTGTGGAATCTGTAGGGTAGTTCTGGCCTCCTGTGAGCTGTAGCTTTCTGCTCTTACTGAAATCATAAGAGAGTGGAAATCACAGTGGGTCAGGCAGCTTTCATGGAGAAAAAGCAGCCTACATTTTGAGTTCAGATCTGTAACAAGCAGATTACTTCTGCTTATGTTCCTATTGGTGTTGTCGCTATTTCTGCAGATCATCTTCGCACATATCTGAGATCGAATGTTACACACCATAAGTGACATTTATGCTGATCTGATAGATCAGGGCTCCAAAGTGGTGTTCTCAGGAAGGGTCACTGGTCCCAAAATGTTAACTCTGATTTTTTCTTCACAGATGTTGCCAGACCTATTGAGCTTTTCCAGCAACGTCTGTTTTTGCTCCAAAGCAGAGATCAAATATACACATTCCCAGAATTGTCAAAGTAATTTCTCAGTGCAAGCATTTTGAACAAAGCCTTTCACACAAGCAGACAACAAACAAAGCAGCTGTAAGGTGTCAGTACTTATTGGCATATTTCCCTGTCATGTCCTCAGTTCTTTAATAGCTGCTGTGTTCCTACCTTGCTTTTATCAGCTCCAGGAAAACCATGGACTCACAGTTAAATTGCAAAATCCATGCTGATTTCACTGTACTTGGCCAATTAACATATTGAAATTGGCAACCCATTTCTCTTGAAGGGATTTTGTACATGTACATTCATCCAAATGCAGATGCTTTGCATCTCCTGTCTCAACTCCTGACTCACCAAAGCCTTTCCCGTAGTACAACACACAATTCAGGAGTCTGATAGAATACTCTCCAATTGCCTAGATTGCTGCATTTCCAACAACACTCAATAAACTTGATATCATCCAGTACAAAACAGACTGCCTGGTTAGCACCTCGAGTACAGTCTTCAACATTGATTCCTCTCATCGCCAATGCACAGTAGCAAAAATGTGTACTAACTATTAGGTGTACTGCAACAACTCACCAAGGCTCCTTAAACTGCATCTTCCATACCTTCAAATTCTATCATCCAGAAGGAGATTGGCAGCAGGTGCATGGGAACACCACCACCTGCAAGTTTCCCTTGAAGCCATATACCATCCAGGCTTGGAAATATAACACCATCCCTTAACTGTCGCAGGCTCAAAACCTGGAACTCAACTGCACTGTAGATGTACTTCAGTACATGCATTGCAGTGGTTCAAGAATACAGTTCATCATAAGCTTATCAAGGGCAATTAGGGATGGACAATAGATGCTGACCCAGCTAGAGATACCCACATGCCATACACAAGCATAAAAGAAATGCAGAAGTCAACTTTATAACACCTTGTGAATTTTGGCAGTTTTAACCCTGTCCTGCTCCCATGCTCTTCCTCTTTAAAATTCAGCCCAAGAATAGTTGTGTGACTGAGCCACGAAAAGACTATTCAATGTCCTAAGCAGGTATTTATAATCAATGAGGAGAACCTACAGGTTCACGGTGATAGGGGCTCATGGAAAACAAGGCATAAGTGTCAGAAGGAAGGGTAATGCGATGCCTTTCAGAACCATCACTAACCACCCCACCCATCCACCCACATACACACACAACACAACACACACACAACCTACTTCCCAGAGCCAGGTTTCTCAATCAGGTACAGAGTGCCAGATCATGCGGAAACCAATCTACGCGGCCTCTGGCAAATGAGACAAGGTTTTCCTGGATGGCCTTTGGGAGGCATGGGAAAGCTGTTTGTATCCCATTTAATCCCTCAGTCACTACTAAATCACATTAGGCTCAGGGGTAATGGCTGCCAGTCAGGTCATTAATAGGCCTATTTGACAACCCACTACTGATAACCACGAATCCTATTCAAACCCCTTCTACCCTCCAATGTAATCAGGGGAGGTTCAGTCACCACTGAGCAACTGACCCTTCATTGAACCTCTCCCATCATTAAGTGGGCCCAGCCACCATGTGTCCCTCTATGATGGGCTGCAATAAGTCGAAATTTATTGGCAAGATTATACACTCCCTGAGGATAATGAGGAAGGTGGCAGGAAGTACAAATAATTGGATGGGTTAACGTGGAGAGGTAGCCAACCACCCCTGCCTTTTTGCCATCTTGGCAGTCAAGTTTTGGGTGAGAAGTCTATGGCTGACCTTCTTGACTAGCCAGTGATTAAGGCCCTTAAAATCAATGACTGGTCATTGGTCTTCAATCTGCCACCATCCTACTTCCTGACTGCTTGGCAGGCAAGAAACATGGCTGGTTTCCCCACTGAAAGAAACAGGGTGGCCTGTCCACCAGATAGGGTGGGTGGCT